CGTGCGCCGCGAACTAATAAAAATAAAGAGGTCGCCGTGGGATTAGAACTAATTAGTTTGGCGGGACGCGGAAGCACGCCCGATGGAATATTACGGCGGCGGATCTAGCGAGGCCGCCGGTCTCATCTATGAATTCTTCTTCGGCCACGTCGGAGAGTTGATTTTTTTCCTTAATGAAAATGTCAAGGCGAGTCGTAATGTGACGCGACTCTCCGCGTTTCAAGCATCCTTCTAATTAATCCTCGAATTATAAAGCCATCAAGATGAGTGAAATTGGATTCCGCGTGAAATCGAGCGAAGACCGACGTCTCGCTGTTTCTTCATTTGATTACATCTCTGAAGTTTCAATTCGCGGAAGCACTTCATTTTCAATTGGCTGCAACTCGAAAGCTGCCAGCTCTTTCGTTGGGGGGAATATCGAGCGGTGGAAGTTTCGCTCCAAGACTCGGCGGGAATTAATGACGCTTCGACGGATGCCTTGTGTATCGTTTGGAATTAATTAATTGCGCCTTTTCACGGAACTACGATGCGCGGTTGTGCGCGAAATTATGGTGACTTGGTTTGATTCTCCAATTGGAGAGAATTTGCGTGTTTGGTGTCGACGAAAGCCGCGCAGCCCCCCTGCGATCGCGTACTTCACGCTTTGTAGTAGCAAAATTATCGAGTTCTGATCGTCCCCTCACCACTTCTTCATACTTCATCGTGACCTCGACAGAGGCAGCACGTGAAAGAACGGACCGTCGGATAAGTACCGCGGCGGTTCTCGGTCGAGGCCGTCTCGTATGGCGTTTATCTTGAAGGCTCCCTTGTATAGATGGAAGCACCTATACTATACCTGTTCCTCCAAAACTGCTCGTCGCGAATATACATACCTTGATATATACCTGTGATTAAGATATATATTAAACGGCATCTCGCGCTGTCAGCGACAAAAATAATTTATTCGGAAAGAAGCGAGATAAAATCGCGCGCGTAATCCTTACGCTCGGAAAAATGGAACTCGGACGCTTACGATCGCTTTCAGCGAGCGTTGAGGGTGAATTATCTTCCAGGAAGAAACTAGAGTAATTCTTTCAGGTAAAACTGTGTAATTTTTCACAGGCACAGGTTCCTCACGGCGTTCCGTTTTTGCCGAAACGCGAAATGCACAGTTCACGTGCGGATTCGCGGCATGATGGATGGCGGTTTGCGGCAAGAAACGTATTTATATCTACGAGACATTGCCTGAGTAAATAACAGCGAAGTGCACTTTTCGTACGCTGTATCCTTGGGTAATTTAAACATCACCGCCGCGGATGAATGATAGGTAGCAGTGACCTTTAACGTCGGCGATTTTTACGATGCTTCTGCGCGCCCCTCGCGCGAAAAATAAGGACCTTCGGCGGTGGAGAAATAGGAGAGAGAGAGAGAGAAAGAGAGAGAGAACCTACTTGAGTTCAGACTGAAATAAATCAAAAAGATTGGAAGATACCAGAGTAGCCGGCGAGTAACTTGTAACGAGACTCACGTCGTCGCCGGTACCCCATAATTACTGGCGCCGATGAAAACAAAAAAGAGGCAAAAAAGAAAAGGGAGGAAAAAAAAATAAGAGGAAAAGAGAAACGAAGCGGACGGCCGCCGCGCAGCCACCTTTTAAAAAGGTGTTAAAGCGTGCCTTGTGCTCGCGCGCTTCGTGCGGGGTAGGTGTTAATTTAAAACAAACCGAAGGATAGCCGCGATTTGAAATCTGGCCGCCGTGTACTCTCCGCTCGTCCCGAAATTCGACCGGCCGAAAGTCACCGCTTCAGTGGCGTATCGAGGAGAGATTTTCGATATTCGCGTTCTCCTGCGACCCTCGCGAGAGAAAAACCCGAACGTTACTTTAAATCGCGCGCGACGCGCCCCCTTCAAGCTTATTATTTATAATCCTCGTTTATACTTACGGTTTATCTATACAAATTTATTCGTCATTCTCGGCGGGCGCGACGGCCTCGGCAAATTCCACGTCTCTTTGCGTTAAACAGCGCGGAACAACTTGAGAGAGACGCGAGAAAATAATGGAGAATAATGCAGGAAGAGGAATTATGCAACACGATGCGATACCGGTTGATCCCGTGTTCCACGGGAAATCCACTCGAAATTTTTCAAACGCGCGTACCCGACCGTCCCAGAACACGCCACTGCGACGGCGGATTTTCGTGTAACGTGTAATCAGTACGGCGTTTCGGACCAATTTTTTTTTTACGCCCGCCCTCGGGCAGCGACCACCTTCCCTTCGCACCTTCCCATTTTTTTCTCGTCACTCAGAGATGATTTTACGACTCGCGTCCACGAAGCGATGGGCAACGCCCTCGAGATTCTAACATGAGTCGATCAACCATGCGCGGCCAGTGTTATTGCGCGAGTTGTATCGCCTCCGTCTGCGATCGCGCACTTCCGCGCATCACAAGGGTAGTTAATTGTCGCGGCAGGTGCCGTCGATGTATCGTCGTCGGTCGAGCCTTTCTATTAGCGCATTTGCCCTCCGAATTTCTTAGGTCACCTTCGACAGAGAATATTTTCTTCATAATAATGTAATCCCAGTGACACGATGGGTTATCCTGCTTTTCGAGTGAGATTTCGCTCCGAGAAATTTCAAGAGCGCTGAACGCTCGCGCGGGACACACCCTGTCTATTCGAGGTGTTGCTGAGAGAAGGCGAAAGCACGCATTACAGGTCTGTTCTTTTCAGCTGGATCAGATTGTGCTTTATGCCCGTAGAAAGAAACAAGTGCATAACCTACTGCTGAAGGGAGGAAGAAAAAAGAGTTCCAGCACTCTTTTTACTTCAACAAGAAAGAACAGGTCTTATATCACGTGCCCGAGACGTGCCTGGACAATTTGGCTCGTAAGCAGCAAAACCGTCGTCCGGGGGACGCGATTTCATTGCAAGGTGGCTGAAACGCGGCCCCCTGTCGCCGCCTCGTCCAACAATGCGCGCGGCAATTTTTCATACGATACACCCCTTTCGAAAACAAGACGGCAAAGAAACAGCCCCGACACTTTCCAGGCAAGCTCCTCGAGCACGGCCGTCTCGCGTTCATTACAGATTCGATCGATCTTCTTCCTGCCATAATGCACGCGGGGTCCAAAACGCGCTAACGAGACAGCTCCGGAGCCATTAAGATTCCGCCTTATCACGATCGGGTGCAGCACGCGAAAAGACTCGTTTTCCAAATTGAAAACGCGTCGATATCGCCGGCCGATCAACGAGCCGCCATCCGATCTGCTCGCCCTCTAATCGCCAGTTAGTCGGCACCCGAGCGCCACGATCGACGATCTATCGATCCTCGGAATTAGCATTCGAGGCGTGAATCTCATACGCGGATCTCCCGAGAGAGAGAGAGAGAGAGAGAGAGAGAGAGCCACGACCATGTAAATTTGGGGATTACCAGAGCGCGACCGCTGGGAATAGATCTCACTTGTGATCTATACGTAAATCATCGAGCAGCCGGAATGCCGCTGAGCAAATCGCGCGCAACAGGCGCACTCACACTCCCGATAAATCCAAGAATATATTACTATCGCTCGATGCAGCGATGGCTCTTGGCGAAGCTCGACTCGATCGCGTTAATTTGGCTAAATAAAACAGAAGACGCTGTAAGTGAAAAGAAGGTGATAAATATCGGAGTTCTGGATATAAATGGAGAAGCAATGTGAAAAAAATCTGACCGGCTATTTGTATCATATAATTTGGGCATTATTTTGTTTAGCGACCGCAACTAAGAGCATTGTATAATGTACTGGTAAATTGTAATAATTTTATAATTTAAATATATCGTGACTGCATGAAATCCCTTTTCGATGTGCCAGGTTATAACGAAAACCTACGAATTACGGGACAAGTATTTTTCTTCCGGGAAAAGAATTAGCTATCGATATAATACAACTGAAATTCAATCACCGGACCCAGTTTTTAGCTGTGGGAGATAATTTCTTTTTACTGTGTGCCTAAGCTAATTACAAAGACCGATTATTTAAGAAAGATCAACTATCAACCTCTTGATAATTAACCTTCCTTCTTTACTTATCGCTCGCTCCAAAAGTGCACGGGAGGAAAAATTCAGTTCCTGCAAATGAATACGAGGTTAGATGAAAACTCGGTGACAAAAAATAATATCTATTGCGACTGGGCGCGTTCGTGTGAACATTCAGCTGTATGAAGAGCAATCGATTGAAGCAATTAACTGAGCAGAAAGAGAAAGAGAGAGAGAGAGAGAGAGAAAGAAAAATGTTCTACATATGTGTATTTCCAGAAAGTTTCCAGGAATTTTTCTATTTCTACAATCAAGTTTTCACCTGGTCCCCGGGCAGTGGAAAATTCAGTTACACCAACGGAATTGTTTTTTCCATATAGTATGCGGCTGCTGTGAGCCCGCTTACTTCAAATGCCCATGCGAATAAGATGACTTTCGATATATCGAACTCAATAACGCTATTCTATATCTAAGACTCTATCATAGACGAAACATAGTGCGAACTGTGCCGACCGAAGGGAGAAGCTTCGAGGTTCTCTAGCCGTCCTTCCGGCGGCCCCACGAGAACGGACGGAACGCGTGGCCATATTTTATAGGCGGGGGCGTAAAACGGATAATTTTCGAAGGAGGGAGGAAGCGATATCGGATCGTATATCAGGCCGCGGGACTGGCCGGGTCGCCTTCAAATTATCGGAAACGAGGGCCAAAACTAATGGGCCGCGTTGGGCCATCTGGCTCCTGCGGGGCTTGCTGATTCACGCCAATTCGTCCGCTATTTTCGCGCCGCACGAGCCGAAACTAGCCGTTCCTCCCGCCACGTCGGCCACGGTTTAACGTCCGAGGTCCGCTCTACGTCCTCGAGAACGATTTCTCGCACGGCGGTGGAGGGGAGGGGATAGATATGATCGAACGCTTTCGATTATCGCCTTTATTCGGTTCGCTGATAATTACGTCCTCAATTGCGGAGGTCGAGGCGCGGCGATCGAGATCGACCGGCCCGTCGGCTCTACCAGATTTGATTGCCGCCGAATCTCCACGGTGTGTTATCGCATACCGTTCCGGCGACCGCCTCCTGTACCGACGTCGTCAGTATTCGGAAGTTTACGTCCGTGTAATTGAGAGTCGACAACAGGAATATCGGCATCCGATCCGACATGATCCAGAGCATACCGCGATTCACCTGCGAGCGACGAGAAGACGGTGAGATTTAATGAGACTGAGAGTGCGAATTTACGGTGAACAGTCTTGTGTGCGGCGAGGATTACGTGTGTGAAATTTATTCGTACTTTGATATCGGCTGGGAATATCATAGCGTCGTCGTGCCTCGCGACAACCGCGTGATTCGCCGACGAGTAAGGCAGCGCGGAATTCCAACATCCGACTGCGTTCTGGTCGATCAAATTGAAAAACTGAAGTCCATTCTCATCCATCACAGACGCCGTGCAGTGGGAGAGTGGTCCTCTCGATGCCAGTACCTAAAAAAAGATAAAAGTGCTCCTAGATTTATCAGATGTCAGTGCCTGTGCGAGCGCTCTAGTTTGTCAGCCCCAATGAGTCGACGATCTGTATAGATCACGAGTGACAGATCTACTCCCAGATTGCGAGCGAATTTTCGGAAAATTCCATTTTTCTAATAAAAATAACAGTGCTGACCGGCTCTACTGATAAAACCAACGTAAATAAAATCAATAATAAGAACCCATGTACGAGTAATTTTAGTGCGATGAAAACAAAATAATTATATTTTCTTTTAAAGAGGAATTTCACGGTAATTGGAAGAAATATAACGTACATAGGCTCTCACGGGCGCTGACTCTATTTTTAAATCAATTTTTAAACGGCATCGAGTGTCAAGTCTATTTATTTACACGGATTAACCGGAGAAGATAAAAATTTCGTGAGGAAATCTCGCATATCGTGCGTTGTCTCGAGCAAGCGTACCTGGAACTCGCGATAACTATTTTGCGATAGTTGCTCGTCCCTTAAAATCCTCGTAGAGACCGCGAACTCGCGATGGCTGCTGAGAGGATGAAAGAAGAGGGTCCTATAGCCATCCTGCGATATCGGCGACAGACTCATTCCAAAAATGCCCTCTTCTCCCCATTGGAAATTCAAGCCTCCGACGTTGTAATCACCCGCCAAGGGATCCGGCATGAAGTAACTGTGCGTGATACGCCAGGATGTATTCTGCTGCCACGAATACACGATGAGACCGTAGCCGAGCTCGTCGGACATGTAAGCGAAGGCGTCGTCGCAGCCATCTCTGCCCAGGTCGACCGCGATGTTGGCGATAAAAGTGTTCTACGTGGACGAAAGCGTAAGAACCGGGAAACTAAAGAGTCCTAATCGAGTACGAAGAAACGGCGGTGTACCTGGTTGATGTCCTGCGGCCTGAGTCGGTATTGTCTCAGAATCTTATCCGTGGTCAAGTCGAATACGTTCAAGGTGTAGGGACAAACTTGTACGGTTGTATCGCCGAGACCCACCGTGCCTGTATCCAACACCCATAATCTATCGCATACGTCCGCGTGGATCCTGCAAGAGAATTATTATCGTTCGTGTAGAACGTCTGGAGAGACCTTCAAGTCTTGTTTGAATTATACGGAAGTTCAGTTATACTCTTGTGATATATATATATATCAATTCGGGAGAATCGATAATATTATACTATTCATCACCTGTAAACGGTGGTTAATCCTCTACCGCAAACACCGGCCTTATTCTGAATCCAGTTCGGATAAGGCGTAAGCCTGGGCGATCCGCTTTGATTAGTGTCCAGCGATATATAATTCAACGTGGCTGGTATCCCTGCAGTCATACGAAATGTCACTTCAAATCCACCGCTACTATCAGTATTCTCCTAATTTGTCATACAATGAAATTCGCATTAGAGATATTTAAGACTTGCGAAAATTCGCCGGATCATTCTCATGCCTATGTTGACGAAAGAAACAATCCGATGAACTTCTGCAAGCTCCTGATAGAAGGATAGATCAACATTATATCGTAGAGCATCGATATGCAGGTTCGAAATGAAATAGTGTGAAAAGGGAAGAAGGAAGGCATCGCAGAGAGGTCGCGAGGGTCTCCGAAGGAAGAGAAGGCGAGGTACGGAAGGGTAGTGCATTAAGGATCTTACACAGCGTGCCGCCGTCATTGTCCGGTCTTTGTGACGCACAAAGCGGTGGCGCGCGCCAACGTATATAATAAACATAGAGCGTGCAAAAAAATCGGATGAATAAAGGGCAGCGGGAGAGTCTGAATGAAAAGCCCGGTTCGTCCCTGTGTTTCCCTTTCTGACGAGAGCAGGGGGCGAAGGCCTCTGAGGGCCCCTTAGGGGCTGAGCGTCGCGGAGGTGGAGGCGGGTGGCCGATAAAGACAGAAACGCTCCTATTGAGAGCGCGCTCGCGGTTTTCGGCGCTTTTTGTCGCGGGCCGGAAGTCGCCCAGACGAGAAGTGTACCTCCTACGGCGATCTTTCGCGTATTATGCCGGCGTCTGCTTCCGGTTCCTGACTTTCAAGTGTCGCGTCGCATTTTCGCGCATGCCCGTCTGCCCGTAGCGTAGGTGTTAATCGAGGTAAAGGGAGAGAAAGGGAGACATTTTCGGGGCTTCATTAACGACTCGATATTTCCGATATCCTCACCATCGCGCCATCTCGGTATCGTGACAAAGACCTTGTTCCTCCAGATCTCAATGCCGACGGGCAAAGCGTTCTCCGGCACAAATTCGCCGCTCGCAATTGCCAATTGCCTGCTACGCTCGTCCGGATAAGAAAAATCCAGCTTTTGCCAGGCGAATCTTTCGAGGAGCGGAGCGCGTCCGAACTTCTCTCCGTTGTTAACTTTGCTCCGTTGTGTAACCCCGTGGACGTTTCCGGTCCGGGAAAACAGTAGAATCGATAGCACGACATAAATCCAGGCACGATAAATTTTCATCATTTCACTCGATCTCTGTATGTAGAAAAATACATTTATCCGTGTTACTTTATAAATGTTGCTCTCACGCGATAATAATAATTTTTCTGTAGAGGATGCGGCAGAACATAAATAAATTCGTCGCATCATAACATCACTCATGCGGAAGCATTATATGAGTATTTTACGTATGCACGCGTGCGCTGATTAAATTGCTTTGTGACCAAAAAAATTTAATTACCCGAGCGCACGCGAGCAACCGAGTTTTTAACACGTGCGCATGCAGTCTCTTATCGCGTTTTGATAAAAAGCACACGCTCGGTTCGCATTTTTTCGTACATAACATGTGGATATGCGTGCCTGTGCACCTGCTAAATCTAATTAATCTAATTAAAGTGATCTAATTAATTCCACTTCTAATATATCAAAGAATCGCTGAAGCGTAGCAGCGCGCAACATTGCGTTTTTCCAGATTTATTTATAATTAAATTTATAAATTAATCTGGGAAAAACAGTGTCTCGCTGCGACACCGTCGTTTCCTGTACTCAGCGACTCTTTGATCTGCTGGGAATTAGATTAATTAGATCACGATTAAATAAATCACGAAAAATAAATTTAATTCATTAGAGAAAGTTTGGGAGCAAGGAGGGGGAGAGAGATCGTGGCATTTCGGCTTGGAATTATTAAGTTACAAACGTATATATTACAATAACGACTAATTTATCTCTCTCACTTCCCACAACTGGAGAAAGAGATTGAATAATATATATACATATTAAATAGAAGTTAAATTAATTAGATCACAATATATACATATTGTATAGTCGTGGGAAATGAGATATAAATTAGTCGTTATCGTAATATATACATTTACAACGTAATAATTCTGAGACAAAGTGCTGCGATCTCCTTTTCTTTGTCCTAGTTTCTCTGGTAAATTAAACTTTTCTTCGTAAAAATTTATCCATCTTTCAATTACCGAATCTACAATCAAATAAAGATGTTAAATTCACATGAGTTTTTCAAATTTATAATGTACAAGAGAGAAGAAAAAGGTAAGATTGTTCTTTCACTGCACAGCAATATATTTCAAGTAATAAACATTTTTTTATATACATGGTGGCTCGTTTTAATTTGCCCACTTTTTAGAAGTTTAAGTTTTAGAAGGAAACTTCTCAGACAAAAGTTGTGCGATTTAGAGGGAGACATAGAGAAAGGAGACATTTAGTAGTGATCCTAACTTTGCTATATAGTCAATAATTCAGAGTAATTTCAAAACCAATTTTATTTTTTGAAGTGGAGTCATATAATTTCTTTAATAAATCGAATCCTCCGTTCATGCTGCGTATAGAAGTATTAGGGTAAAATCATTGAAGAGTGAATAATAAAAAATATAATGAAATAGGCTCACCTTAGGGTCACCACCTTATATTCCCCTTTACACTCTATCACTTTTGTCTAAAACGTTTCCTTCTAAAACTTACGGATTTCGAGATATTCGAGTGGATAAATATAAAACGAGCCACCCTGCATAGAGCACAAAACGCTAGACAATTTAGTTAAATCAACCCAGACGGGTTTGATTTAAGCAGACCTCGAGTAAAATTTACACTCTCTTAGCGCAATCGTCTTGCGATTTTCCGATATTTACCGCACTTGTTCCGAAAAGGCATACGGAATTAATCCGAATCGCGTCTAACTACCCACGTGTTACGTAAAACTGATATCGATCGATCGAAAGTTGTATCCGTAAAAAAACAAAAGAAACACGGCGGGAGAAAAACGACAAACTAGGCTTTTCGTGTGCCGAGCTAATGGAAAATCGGTAGCACTCGGAAAGTCACCGCCGATCCTTCCGTACTAAACTGCGTGTTCCTGTAAAACGTTGCCCGTATATATGCACCCATCCCCTATACGAAATCATAGCTCGTACCACGTGAACCCGTGCCCCGCGCAAAGAAAGGAATGCACTGGGCATGTGCGTGCGCCTACACTCGCGTCTACTCGAATCGTCAACTAGTACAGGCATTGTATACCGTGGTGCACTTATATGTTTCGACGTGTTGATCGATGGAGCTGAAATTCACGCGTGCCTTAACTCATTTTCGCCAGCGAATTCATCGATACGCTTAAACGTTTGCAAAAATTGTGATTGTTCAGCACAGAATTAAGGACGCAAGATGAACGAGATGAAACTGATTAAGATTGAGAAAGTCCTCTGATGCACAATCTTTGGAGTAATTCAGGCAATTAATTAGAACGAGATGTGAAAGTGAGAGACGCGGTGATACGTAAGGTTTAATGTTAATAATCGTGAAACAAACAATGGAGTTTGCATTATTAAAACGTGAACGATCCCGCTTTTGGTTCGTCTTCAGCGAAGATAACAAATCAATTTGTGGCAGAGTATTAGTCGTGGTCCTTTTCCTTCAAGTTGACTAACGACTCAAATGACTTTGACTGAATGAGTCAAAAGTCATCAATGAACATTGGAAAAGAATAAATAAATAGCTAATCGCGCACACACATGCATAGGCGATACATTCGGTGTCGGGCAAAAGTAGAAATCTATCAGAGACGTTTCCGTAATTGCAATTAGCACGTAATTTTCACGCACGTTGTATGTTGTAAATAGCGAGAACAAGCGGGCGAATAATTTCTCTTTTCAACTGATCGTAACAGGCCATTTTTGTTGGAACAAAGTTACTCGTGGCTCGACGTCAACCGAGACATTTCGACAAATCGCGTGGAATGACACGCGTTATTCCGCAACGGCATGCAACTAGACGCGAGCGTGATTTGTTGAAATCGCGTATAATTACCGTCGACGCGCGCGCACGCATCCTCGTTATTTCAAGCGTGGACCGTACGCGATTAAATTAAATCCCAATGGCGATTTAATTAGATTCATAAATCTCCAGGGGTGTGCGCGCTCGTTGGGGGATTTCGGGCGGACAGCGAACGCGGAAATGCAGACGGGCGGCCGGGCGTGTTCGAAGCGCATTCGGGGGCAGGGAAGTCATTCGTTAGCCGTAACGAGGTGACGACAAAAAGCCGCCGTCTGTCTCACGGATGATCGGCTCCCGAGAATAAATTCCCGGGGTTATCTCCCCGCGAGAGAACTGACGGCTGAAATTGCGTTCAGTTTTCTACCTCTCTCCGTCTCTCTTCCTCTACATCTTTCTCTCTCTCTCTCTCTCTCTCTCTCTCTCTCTCTCTATCCTCTTCTGCTGTCTCGCATCTTTCCCTCCATCCGCTTTCGCCGGTGTTTCATTAATCAGCGGCCTTCCTGAGAGGTGCAATCGGAATTTGTGGAAATGAGTAATTGTCGGCGGCCGAAAAATATTATTACGGTTTAATCACCGATGACGCGCGACATTAATGGTGGAATCGAGTGCAACGTCCGACCGAATTAACACGACACGTCGTCGTCCGGCGAAGTATGCGGACAGCCGCGAGCGTTACGGCACGAATCGAATCGTCCCGCGAAAACATTTTTCAATGCCCGTTCAATTTACGCCGTAACCAGGAAACATCCCATTTGCATCTCTCTCCGCGCAATAACGAGCTTATTACGGCGCTCAAGTGAGCTGTGATTTGTGGCAATCTAAAGAGGCGAGCCGACCGACCGCTACGCTCAATTATTTCGATAGCAACGTCTCCGTTTTCCCGCTTTCCGTCCAAGTCGATAAAGCGTGGTGAGTGTATTCCGGTCTATCGTCCTTTCGAAGCGATCCGCGTCAACGAGCGAGGATCGCGTCTTGTTATTCTGTAAAGTGCAGTCGGCATATTATCATTGAAAAGCAGTCAATTAGCCAGTAGTGGTCATAATTATAAATATAGCACTGCCAATCAACAAAGTTTCGCTGCAAAAGTTGGTATGTTAGTAGCAGCAACCTGTTTCCACTGGAGAAATTTAATTATAGAAAGGTAGCGCAGGTAGATACGATTTATCACTTCTTTTTTATTATGTTAATATTTCGAGATATTATCAATGATGTCGGAAATATTTTTATAATTCTATTTAATTGATTTAATCTGCAACGAATTTGAAAGGCATACTTATCGCTTGACGGAACTCGAAATCGAAACGTCTGGCTCTTGAGTCTGTTACCACACGAAACACTCGAAATACAACATATAGTTAAATATATACACTATATATATATATATATATATATATATATATATATTTCTGCTATGGACAGATATATAAGAGCGATTTGCTTTCACTGATCGAAATCAGCAGAGTATGAGACAAAAAAGCTATGTGGAAATATTTCCGATAAAAATTCGCGAAAACTCCACTGATTATCAGTAGAATACTGTTTCACTAATTTGATTAGTAACATTTTCATCGATTCCGAGAGAGTACTTAAGAGAGTAACTCTACGAGGGAACGATCGGAACGCAGTGTTTCGCACGGATCGATGTCGACCGTTTCGTCATTGCGGATCGCGAGACGTCGTAATGCACGTGTTAAGGAAAGGATCTCAAAGTAGTTGACAAGCCACGTACCGGCCACACCTTGTTGATTCTAATGGACAAAATCGCCTTTCGCCATCGTTAAAGTTCGCTCTCGAACGAACGGGTTTATCAAATCGCGATGCCTTTCGTTGATCTACCGCATTTTTCCCCATCGTCGAAGCGAGACCGAATTCGCGATTTTTATATATGCGACCCGCTCGGCGGTCATGCGACCGCGAGTAAACGAAAGTGTGGTCGTGAAGTGGGTCGATAGAGCACGGCGGGCTCTTATCCTAGTCCTTGTCGTCGTCGACTATCCGTCTGTTCGCACAGAATCCCGTCGTAGCTCTCTCGTTCAGTTCTGCAAGGTTAACGCGCGCGCGCGGAGTGACTCCGTCATTTTCTTGCAATCGTAGCGCGCTCATCAAGGTTGCCTAGATTGCTTTCCGGATCACTCGCCGGCTTTCTAGTTGACATGGTAATTTAAAGGCGGCCACGCGCTTGAATTACCGGCGATCTCCGCGGCTCATCGCCCGCCGCCCATCATTTTCTC